AAAGACAAAAAACTTGAAAACTCACTTTTTTTTTTACTATTGGGTATGTACGCTCACTATAGAGACAGAGAGACAGAAAGCAAGAAATCATCCCCCAGGCGTATTGGCCATGCTGCAGTCCCTTTTCCTTTACTCTCCCCTCTGTATTCTAGGCATGCATACACATGTGCCTGATGTGTTTTAGGCCACTGGGTCCAGGATTCAAACCGCTGTCAACTACGTGGTAGTCCAGTTATATAACCAGTATCCCATCTGCTGGTCCCTAGAAAATCCATGAGGATTGTTTGGAATATGTATACATTTCAGTTTGGAATATGTATAAGTTTTTAGAGTTTTACATGACAAATATGTTGAAAATAAAGAAAAGCAAGAAGAAAATTTTAAAAACATAATTTCATCACCCAGAGATTATATTTTAATAGATTGCATGTTTGGATAGAGACAGTTCATCCGATGATTTTGCATGTAAAACTATTTGTCAAAGAAAGGTCTCAAGATTGGTTTCTTGGGACCAGCAGATGGCATAACATTATGTTGCTGAACTTCCACAGAGTTGACCGCGGTTCGAAGCCTGAACCCAGCGGCTTAAACTCATGCCGGGCAAATGTGCGTGTGGGCCCAAGATCCTGAGAGGAGAATGGAGGAGAGGGCATTGTGGTGTGGCTGTCTTCCCTGTGGGATTGATTTCTTGCTTTCTGTCTCTGTCTTTCTGTCTTTCCGGTGAGTGCTCGTGTCCTATAGCAAAGCCTCTCAAAAAAAAAAAAAAAAAAAAGACTGATTTCTTAGTTTAGCAGTTAACCACTTGGCTGACTGCGGTTTGAATTCTGGCTCTCGCAGCTTGAAAAACACACCACATGTATGTGTCTGATCAGATGGAGGAGAAAGGATTAGGGCATGACCAAGCCCCATTGGGTGGTGGTCTCTTAATCCCTCTCTGGTGAGTACATGTCCCCTCTGGCAATTAAAAACAAAACCTATCTGGAACTAGCACATGGCATAATGGTTAAGTCATAGGACCCCCAGGTAGTTGACCATGGTTCAAATCCTGGACCTGGCAGCTTAAAACTCACACTCAGTTTGCGTGCATGCTTGCCCCAAATCCTGTGAGGATAATGGAGGAGAAGTGTTGCGGTGTGGCCATCCACCCTGGGTGGTGATTTTTCGTTTTCTGTCTCTCTGTCTCTCTCTGCCTCTCTGGTGAGCACATGCACCCGATAGTAAAAATTACTCTCAAAAAAAAAAAAAAACAAAAAACATACACACACACACCAAGAATGTATTATGAGGCCGGCAGGTGGTGTGGTGGTTGAAGGTGCTGGATTCTCATGTGGCTGGCCATGGTTTAAGTCCTGGACCTGGTGGCTTGCTTTCTTGCTTTCCCTTTTCTCTCTCTCTCTCTGTCTCTGGTCAAATTAAAAAATAATAACAAATGGAATTAAATAAATAAGTGAATAATTCTTTAAAAGAAAAAGAAGTGTACTACAGGGGCCAGTAGGTGGCATAGTGGTTAAGGCTCTGGTCTCCCACATGGCTGACTGCCATTTAAGTCCTGGACCTGGCAGCTTGCTTTCTTACTTTCTCTCTCTGGTGAGCACATGTGCTCTAATAATAATAATAATAATAGTAATACATAACATCAAATAAATATATATATTTTTAAAAGCATGGATTTGGGGCTGGTGGGTGGCATGGTGGTTGGGCACGCTGGACCCTCACATGGCTGACCATGGTTCAAGTGGTTTGAATCCCAGACCTGGTGGCTTGCTTTCTCGCTTGTGTTCTCTCTCTCTCTCCCCCTCTCTGGTCAAATTAAAATAAAGTCAAATAAAATAATTCTTTTGAAAAAGCATGGATTACACATTTCCATCTGATTTTTTCATAAATGCAGTGTAAATTTAGAGCTATCATTCTGCTGTCTTCATAACCTATTGGTTAAGGAAGCTGGGTCCCACATGTTCTATTGTGGATTGAATCCCAGCCTGATGGTTTGATAACATGCTAGGCACATGTGTCCGTGTGCCCCAAACCCCAACAGGATAGAGAAAATTTTGAGGAGAAAGTATTGTTGTGTGACTGCCCCATTGGGGATGCATCCTTCCCCTTTCTTTCCATCTCCTTGTCGAGCATTCACCTTTTGGCAATTAAAAAAAAAAAGGTTATTATAAAAGATTTAAAGATGTAAGGGAGGGACCAGTACTGGACCTGGCAGCTTGCTTTTACACTTGCTCTCTCTTGCTCTCGCCTTGTCACTTGCTGTTCAAATGAAAATAAATAAATAAATAAATAAAGTTAAAATAAAGTAATTCTTTTTTTTTTTTGGGAGAGGTTTTTGCTATAGGGTGCGTGCGCTCGCCAGACAGAGAGACAGAGAAGACAGAAAGCGAGAAATCACTCCCCAGCGGGGATGGCCACTCCCCAATCCCTTCTCCTCCATTCTCTTCTCGGGATCATGGGCACGCACGCACATGCGCCTGGCGTGAGTTTAAGCCACCGGGTCCGGGACTCGAACCGCGGTCAACTACGTGGGAGTCTAGCGACATAGCCATTACACTAACTGCTGGTCCCAACTAAAGTAATTCTTTAAAAAAAAAAAATGATATAAGGGAAAAAGAAGGGGAGGAATTACCTAGAAGAAAACTCACTTTTAACAATTTGACATACTCAAATACAAATATTGAAAGTTGCTGTGTGCTAGGCACTGTCCTAGGTACTGAGGATCAAACAAGTGGACTGTAAAACAATATGTATAATGTAATTTTGTTTCTTTTCCAAATTTTGTAGATATATTGTTAAAAGAATGGGCAGAGATTGTTTTGCTCTAAAATTTTGTAGATATATTGTTAAAAGAATGGGCAGAGATTGTTTTGCTCTTTACAGTGTTTTTTTTTTCTTTTTTCTTTTTTTGGAGAGATTTTTTCTTACTGGGTGCGTGCGCTTGCCAGAAAGACAGAGACAGAGAGATAGAAAGTGAGAAATCACCCTCCAGAGAGGATGGGCACCCCGCAATCCCTTCTCCTCTCAGAATCTTGGGCACGCACACATGCGCCTGGCGTGAGTTTAAGCCACCGGGTCCGGGTTGCGAACTACAGTCGACTACATGGGAGTCCAGTGACATAGCCGCTCTTTACAGTTTTAAACTTTTATTTTGACAGAGATATTTTTGCCATAGGGCACTTGTCCTTGCTAGAGAGATAGACAGAAAGTGAGAAATTGCTGGCCAGGGGCTATGGGCATGCCACAATCCCTTCTCCATTCTTCTCTTGGGATTTTCAAGCTCTCGGGTCCAGGGCTCCAACCACAGTCAACCATGTGGAAATCCAGTGCCTTAACCACCATACCGCTTGCTGGTCCTGTTGTCCCTCCCCCTCTTCCCCATAGGGCGCATGTACTATGAGAGACAGAGAAAGTGAGGAAAAAAACCCCAGGAGTATGGCCATACCGCAATCTCTTCTCCATTCTCATCTTGGGATTTTGGGCACACATGCACACGGACTTGGTGTTATTTTCAAGTTTCTGGGTCCAGGACTCCAATTGCAGTCAACCATGTGGGAATCCAACACCTTAACCATTATGCCATCTGCTGGCCCTGACATTTTAGGTTCTTTTCTTTTTAAAATTAATTAACTAATTAATTTTATTCATTCATTTATTTTTTGAATTGACCAAAGAGACATACACAGAGATAGAGAGTGAGAGAGGGTAAGTGAGAAAGCAAGCCATCAGATCCGGGACTTGAACCGTGGTCATCCATGTGGGAGTGTCCAGCGTCTTAACCACCATACCATCTACTAATGGTCTCTCTTTTTAAATTTTTTTTAAAGAATTATTTTATTTAACTTTATTTATCCATTTATTTATTTATTTTAATTTGACCAGAGAGGGATAGAGTGAGACAGAGAGAGAGAGAGAAAGAGAGTGAGAAAGTGAGAAAGCAAGCCACCAGGTCCAGAACTTGAACTGTGGTCGGCCATGTAGGAGCCCAGCACCCTTAACCAGCATGCTACCTGCCAGCCCCTTATGTTCTTTTCAAGCATGACTTTATTTTTTTGCCAGAAGGAATATGCACTGCCAGAGACAGATGTAGGCCATTAATTAATAGTTATATTAAACCTATTAATATTTGAATTTTTAAAAATAATTATTTTATTGAACTTTATTTTGTTTTAATTTGGCCAGAAAGGGACAGTGGAGGGGAGAGTGAGAAAGCAAGTTGCCAGGTCTGGGACCCGAACTGCTGTCCACCATGTGGGAGTCCAGTGCCCTTAACCACCACTCTACCTGCCGGCATACATCATTGCTAACAAAACCATTTCCCCTGTGCCTCATGAGATCTTTCTGTTGGGTTTCCAGCTTCCAGAATTAAGCTCAAAATCACTTTGGAAAACCTTTTTTGATTAAGTCGATTGTTTTTTTTTTAAAGAATTACTTAATTTTTATTTATTCATTCATTTATTTTAATTTGACGAGAGAGAGAGAGAGAGCGAGAGAGAGCGCAAGCAAGCCACCAGGTCCAGGACTCCAACTGTGGTCAGCCATGTGGGAGTGTCCAGTGCCTTAACCACCACTCCACCTACTGGTCCCTAAACTGATCGCTGTTAAAATTTTCCTTACATTTAAATAATTTGTGTTTCATTCATTAGAATATACTATTTTTGGGACCAGCAGATAGCCTAATGGTTACGTTGTTGGACTCCACGTAGTCAACCAGGGTTTGAGTCCTGGACCCTGGTGGCTTAAAAAAAAACTCACACTTGGTGTTTGTGTGTGCGTGCGTGCCCAAGATTCCAGGAAGAGAACAGAGGAGAAAAGATTGCAGTGTGGCCCTCTATTCTGGGGTCAAGGGATGATTTCTCACTTTCTGTCTCTCTGTCTTTCTCTCTCCAGTGAGAGTACACACCCTATAACAAAAATCTCTCTTAAATAAAGAAAAAGAATATATTGTTTTCTTAGTATGGGACATGTTTACTAATTTTCATATTTTTTCCTTTTAAAATTTTTAGAATCTGATGTTCCAGCGGAGCTCCAGGTATTAAAAGAACCTCTACAACAACCATCCTTCCCTTTTACAGTTGCAAACCAACTATTGCTTGTTTCTCTGCTGGAGCACTTGAGCCATGTCCATGAACCGAACCCAGTGCGTTCAAAACAGGTATTTAAATGTAAGTAATAATAAATTAATTTTGCTAAATAAAGCTTGTAAAAATACTGTATTGTTTAATGCTGTTGGTTTCAAAAGCAGCTGGTATATAAAAATTGGGTGTGAAGTTAAGTATGAGTAATTTACATTCTCCAAATTCTTTTTTTTTTTTTTGGAGAAGGTTTTTTGCTATAGGGTGCATGTTCTCACCAGAAAGAGACAGAGAGACAGAAAGCAAGAAATCAGCCCCTGGGGAGATGGGCATACCACAATCCCTTCTCCTCCATTCTCTTCTTGGGATCTTGGCACACACACACACATGCCCGGTGTGAGTTTAAGCCACCGGGTCCAGGACTCAAACCTCATTCAACTACAGCGACATAGCCATTATGCCAACTGCTGGTCCTCCGAATTCATTTTATATTTTCCTTTGTGTAATTCCTCATGAGTAATAATCACTGGAGACTCCAAAACTGTGTGTATTTGAATAAATAAAAGTTCTTTTGTATTCATAATATGGTAATTCATTTAACTTTTAAAGATCTGTTATCATTTGGTTGGTGAGCAGGTAAAAGAAAATTACAGGTATTCATTTTGAACCAGTTGAGGATTAGAACAGTTACGTACTTGTTGAAGGTGTTTGTTTCTTTATTCATGTGTACATGTATGCATGCAAGCAACAGGGCATGTATACTCTCCAGAGAAAGGGGGTGAGAGACAGGGAAAGTGAGAACTCACCTCCAAGGGGGATGGCCATGCTACAGTCCTTTCTCCAGTCTTGGGATTTTGAGTACATGCTCATGTGTGCCTGGTATGATTGGTCCAGGACTTGAACCATGCACTCAGCCTTGTGGAATCCAGTACCTTAACCTCTACTCCACATGCTGACCCAAAAATGTTTAATGTTTAGAGTACTTGTAAGAAATGTGAGTAGGATTACAGATTATGAAGTTCCTGGTTTAGTTTATTGACTGAGACAATCTCTTTAACAGCTTTAACCACAGATTATAAGGTTCTTTTTTACCAAAAAAGTATTTCCAAGTCTTGTTTGGTATTAGAAACTTATAAATATCTTTATGTGATTTTAGTTAGATCTTAGAACCTTTTTGCAACCAGCAGTTGGAATAATGGCGATGTCGCTGGACTCCCATGTAGTCGACTGCGGTTCGAGTCGCAGACTTAGTGGCTTAAACTCAGGCTGTGTGCATGTGCGTGTGTGCCTAAGATCCCGAGAGGAGAATGGAGGAGAAGGGATTGCAGTGTGGTCATCCCGGGTGATTTCTCACTTTCTGTCTCTCTGCCTCTCTCTTTCTCTGTCTTTCTGGTGACTGCACATGCCCTATAGCAAAAACCTCTCCCCCCAAAAATAAGAATTCTTTTATTTAACTTTATTTATGTATTTATTTTAATATAGCCAGCGAGGGAGAGAAAGTGAGAAAGCAAGCCACCAGGTTCTGGACTTGAATTGTGATCCCCCATGTGGGAGTCCAGCACCCTTAACCACCATGCCATCCGCCAGCACCCCCAACTTAGAACTTTTTAGTTAAAGAAGTATTATCATTTTGATAAACTTGAGGGAACACAGAAAATGGTAAAAATATTTGCATAGCATATACTTACTGTTTTCTTGAATAAAGTAAATATTATACTCTACATTCTAAGCATTGGTATATGTGTTTGGGAGGTGAGTTGTACAGAAGGGAGTGTTCCTTAGGTTCCAAAGCATTGGTATCTGGGGATCATTGGATTAGTTAGTGGATAATCTAAATGGAGAATTTCTGATATAGAAGAAATATTCTCTTGCAATATCTACATTTGTTGAATGAATAAATTCCAAGGCATCTTTGTAGAGCCGTCACTTTCTGAGGAGCCTGGTATTTGATCTGTAAGAACATGTAATATGTACTCCTTGTATATTGGTTATAAATATTCTATAATAGAAAAGAACAATTATTAGGTTGTTAGGAAAGACATATTTTTGTTTGTCTATGTTTTTAGTTCTAATAATTTTTTCTACTCCTGTCATTATTTATTTATTTTTTTTAAATAAAATTACTTATTTTATTTCTTTCTTGAGCAAGAGAGATAGAGAGAGCCTGCACACTTCCAACAGGTCTTGCCACCAAGATCTAGTCTCAGCCAGCCTCTGATCATGAGCATGTCTGGAATAATCAAGGCGGTCACCAGACACAAACCTGGAAACGTCTCACATGGGTCAGCCTTGGAGAATGTCTCGTTTTACCGCTTTACCACCCTCTGGTCCCTTTCCCTTTCTTCTTTTTTTTTTGAGAGAGTTTTTTGCCATAGGGCGCTTGTGCTTGCCAGAGAGAGAAAGAGACAGACCCCTACAAGGGGGATGGCCATGCCACAGTCCCTTCTCCTTCTCTTTCATTCTCCTTTCGAGATCTTGGGCATGCACGCACATGTGCCCAGTGTGAGTTTCAAGTCACCAGGTCTGGGACTTGAACTGCAGTTGACTACATGGAAGTCCAGCGATGTAACCATTATGTCATCTGCTGGTCCCTCCTTGCCTTTATTCTTTTCTTGTTGCCAGTCAGCAAAATGTAATATAAGGAATGTCAAAAGACAATAGTTACCTTTATTTAGTTTTTTGAGAGATTTTTGCTATAGGGCATGCACGCTTGCCAGAGAGGCAGAAAGTGAGAAATCACCCTCCGTGGAGATGTCCATACCCCAGTCCCTTCTCTCCAAGCCATCTCTCGGAATTTTGGGCACACACGCATCAGTGTGAGTTTCAAGTCACCAGGTCTGGGACTCAAACCGCAGTCAACTATGTGGGAGTCCAGCAACACAGCCATTATGCCAACTGCTGGTCCCCCAGCGTGAGTTTTAAGCCACCGGGTCTGGGACGCGAGCCATGGTCAACTACGTGGGAGTCCAGCGACAGCCCTTACGCTAACTGCTGGGTCCCCAGCGTGAGTTTTAAGCCACTGGGTCTGGGAGTTGAACTGCAGTCGACTACGTTAGAGTCCATCTATTTAATCATTACGGCATCTGCTGGTCCCTGTTGTCCTTTTTCTGAAAATAGGGCTAAGTACTTTACTGAGTAGACATGGTAAATAAGTGACTGTACAGTGTAATTATAGATATGCTTCTGCTCAATGAATGTACCAAGTGCTCCTCATTCAGAGAATCATTTCCAAAGTTAACATGTATACAGACTTAATTTTTTTCTAATGGAGGTTTTGTGTATATTGTTATTATTACTCTTTATTTTCTATGTATTTTTAAAAATTACTATTTTACTGATGGTCTTTCTAGTAACAGTTTTTTATATTCTTTTTATAGTGCTCTGTCAGACCTTTATCAAGATGGGACTATTGTCTTCTTTCACCTGTAGCGATGAGTTTAGCTCACTGAGACTACATCACAACAGAGCTATTACTCATTTAATGAGGTCTGCTAAAGAGAGAGTTCGGCAGGTAAGCCCTAAAAAGACAAAACAAAAAAATACCCTTGTGTATGACAAAAATAGATTTTAATTTCAAAAGAACTGTATTTTAAAGCATTATGAAATCCTAACTAGAAGACAGGTTTTTAAAAAATAAATAAACTTTATTTATTCAGCAGTATTTTTTGAATGATTACTGTGTGTTAGGCTCTTTGGTAAGTGTTGGGGTTAAAGCAGTTAACAAATTGGACAAAAATCCCTGTCTTCATAGAGTTTTACTGATGAGGAGGCAATAAACAACAGGAAAAAGCTGTATAAAAAGGAAATGGGTTGTTGGGTCGTGATAACATGGAGGAGAAACAAAGCAGTGAAGGGGCTTAGAAAATGTTGGGAGGGGCTGTGTGAATTTTATATATATTGCCAGGGAGACCCTTGGTGAGAGAGTGAGCCTCACAGAGACAAAGTTATTAAACTCAGGAGTTGAAGTTCAGAGAATGAGCCAGGTAGATATCTAGAGGAAAAGTATTCCAGGTAGAGAAACAGTTATTGCAAGGGCCCAGAGGTGGTGTGCTGGCATGTTTGGGGTGCTACAAGGCCGCTGTGTGTCTGGAAAAGAATAAGCTTGATGAGAGTTAAGGAGAGGAGGGCAGGGAAATGGGGAGTGGAAACAGATGGAGTAGGATCTTGAGACCATTTTAATGTCTTTGGTTTTTACTCAGAATAACATGGAAATCAAGGCAGGATTTTGAGCAGTGCAGTGTCATAATCTGACTAACATTTTAACAGGCTCACACCAACTGCTTTGCAGAGAGTAGGCTGAGGAAGACAAGGGCATGAGCAGGGGGACAGGTGTAGTTGTACAGGCAGGAGAAGCTGTGGCTGGGAATGGGATGGGGGCAGTGGAGACACGAGGACTGGTCAGTTTCTTCAGATATTTTCAAGGTGAAATCAACATTAGTTGCTCATGGAACTCTTTGGTAAATTCTTAGCTTGGAGATATTTTCACTTGTAAACTCTTAAGTAATATTGAAAATCTTTTTTTTTTCTTTTTTAAAAGCTTTTCGTTGAGTACTTAAGGCTGTTAACATGACATTGCATTTTGATAGATTACTTATTCCATGAAGCTTTTCAAAATACATTTTAAAAATAATGTTTTGGTTTTAGGATCCTTGTGAGGATAATTCTCATATACCAAAAATCAGGTATGTGTTAAATATTCTTTTGGACTACGCTATTATAATCAAGATTGAGAAAATACTAGTTTCGGGGTTAAAAAATAATTCAGTTAGGATAGTTCGTGGAAATAAAGAACTTTGTTCTCAGCACTTAGGGAGTGCGCCAGGATCTGTTTTACTTCTCATTTCCCTCCTCATTGGTCTCCTTACCCTCCCTCCCCCATTGAATGTGTATTGCATAAGCCACACTCTTAATTCAGATGACTGTTGTATACTCTCTTTCAGGGGAATACCATCAAATTTCAGCTTTATTAAGAAAATGCTAGTTTAACTAGTGTAACTAGGGTCCATCATGAAGAAATTTAAGTGGATTTCTTAGTAAGCTCAGCTAATCGACTATTAACTGTTAGTCATTAGAATATCTGCTGTAAAATATTGATAATTTCAAATTGGATTACTAATTACCAGTAAAACACTTGAAATGATTTTAATGACCACCTTGCTGCTTTTATTATGCTATCATTTTTCTTACCCAATGTTTTCTTCATAGAAATGAGAAATTTCATTTTAGCCTGTCCTTCCCAGAGGATCACAATTTAGTAATAAATGGGTTTTAGGAGGTTACTAATACAGTGAGCATAAACTATCCTAAGACATTTTGATTCTCTCAGGTTTTAATATTGATTGCTTGTTTGTGTTTAACTTTTAGATCAAGAGAAGTAGCCTTTGAAGCACAGACTTCACGTTATTTAAATGAATTTGAAGAACTTGCTATCTTAGGAAAAGGTGGATATGGAAGAGTGTATAAGGTTATTTTTTACATACTTGTTTTGACCTATTATTTTGTAAATAAGTGTATTTTTAAAATAATAATTATTTTATTTATCTTTATTTATTTACTTAATTTAATCAGTGAGGGACAGAGCAAGAGAGAAAGTGAGAAAGAAGCTGCCAGGTCTGGGACTCAAACCATGGTCAGCCATGTGGGAGTCTAGTGCCCTTAACCACCATGCCACTTCCCAGCCCCAGTAAGTGTATTTTAAAAAATAATTATATATTTATTTAATTTTATTTGTTGTTACTATTTTTTAATTTGACTAGAGGGAGAGAGAGAAAGGGAAAGTGAGAAAGCAAGCCACCAAGTCTGGTACTTGAACTGCAGTTGGCCATGTGGGAGTCCAGCGCCCTTAACGACCACAGTACCTGCTGGCACTAGTAAGTGTATTTTGAGACATAATTCTCATTATTTTTATTTTAATTTTAAAAAATTTTGGACACGTACCCACATGTGTCTGGCATGTTTTTCAAGCTGCTAGGTCTGAGACTCAGACTGTGCAACTGGTCATGTGAGATCCAGCTGTCTTCACCACCACACCATGGCCTGGCCCTGTTTTCATTATTATTATATAAAGTTCTCAAAGGAAAATTCCTAGAAATCATGTATATTTACTGTTCATTAAGATTTGTCATTTATAGGGAAGTTGGCAGGTTTTAATTTTTTCCTGCTTATGTTGGTTGTGTAAGTGGATTCTGGAAATTTTAAAGTTTGGTTCTGTAATTAATTTTTATTAAACATATGTGACTAAAGAACATTGTGCAACTGTGTTTTAGGCTTTAGAGACTCTCAGTATTGTTGAAAAGTTTCTGGTCTAGCTGAATTGGACTTCCCTGAACATAGTAATATGGAAGTCTTTAGCTTAATTTTATCTCTTTGGCTAATTCAGATGATCTGATCTAAGATTAAACAACTTCTAAAGTTAGAATTTAATGGCACAATATACTTTGTCTTTTCTTCTGTTTTTCTTTTTTCAGGTCAGGAATAAATTAGATGGTCAGTATTATGCAATTAAAAAAATCCTGATTAAGGGTGCAACTAAAACAGATTGCATGAAGGTATGATTGTAAAATTAAAAATTTTTTTAATAGTTGTGTTTAACTCCTTTTGAAGGAGTTATATGTGAATGTGTATATATTTGGCAAATAGTAGGGGATTTGGATTGTTTATTAAGAATAGGGTTACAGTAAAGCACAGTAAACAAACACTGAACTTTCATTTGATGGAGTTTTTAATATAGATGCATGTATATATATGTATGTGTGTGTATTTTTTTTTTTTTTGGCCAGAGGTTACATGTACTTGCCAGAAAGAGACAGACAGGGAGAAGGAGAAAGCACTCCCAAAGGGGTGTGGTCACATGGCAATTCCTAATCCTCCATATTTCCATCCTGTTGGGTTCTTGGGCATGCGTGCACTTATACCTGGTGGGTTGTTCAAGCTGCTGGGGCCAGATTTTGAATTGCAGTCAGCCATGTGGGATCTAACTTCCTTAACCACTAGGATATGGAGCCAGTCCCGGAGGTTATTTTATTATTTCGCTATGGAACAAAGAGTAGTTGATGTCATGAACATTTACCAAATGGTCATTAAAAGCCAGATCTGATTGTGTTTCTTTGTTAGGTACTACGGGAAGTGAAAGTACTGGCAGGTCTTCAGCACCCTAATATTGTGGGCTATCACACTGCCTGGATAGAACATGTTCATGTGGTCCGGCCACAAGGTAAGCAGTTTCAATGATACCATTGAAGGGCTGGCACATTTTAAGTTTATTGGACCGTGTGTGGCCTGCCTTTGTTTGGTATATCCCATAAGCTGAGAATGGCTTTTACATTTTTAAAAAGTTACAAGAAATGAGAAGAAGACTATTTTGTGAAAATTATATGAATGACATTTCAGTGTCAATAAATAAATTTTATTAGAACACAAGCTTGTTAATTTATATATTGTCTATGATTGTTTTTATACTGTCTCAGAATTGTGAAGTTACAGCAGAGTCCCTTGGATTCCCAAAGCCTAAAGTATTTATTAACAGGTCCTCTACAAAAGATCCCTGGTATTGTTAAAAGCTGGTTTTGGGACCAGTGGGTGGCGAAGTGGTTAGGGTGCTGGATACTCACACATGGCCGACCACAGTTTGAGTCCTCGACCTGGTGGCTTGATTTCCCGCTTTCCTTCTCTCTCTCTCTCTCTCTCAATCTCTCTCTGGTCAAATTAAAATAAATGAATGAATAAAAAACAAGCAAAAACAAACTTAAAAAGCAAAAACTGTTTTTTTTTTTTTTTGCTATAGGGAGAGTCTACTTGCTGGAGATAGAGAGAAAGCAAGGGAAAGTGAGAAATCACCCCCGCAACGAGGAGATGACCATGCAACAATTCCTTCTCTTCCATTCTCCTCTTGGGGTTTGGGCATGCATGCATGTGCATGCCCCCATCCCCCCCAAAAAAAACCAAAACAAAACAGATTTTTTTAAGCCACCAGATCTGGGAGTTGGAGCATACAGCCAGCCATCCAGCTGCCTCATCTCCATACCACCTACAGGCTTCTAAACAGCTGTTTTTTTAGTTTCTAAGATGTGCTAACCCTTTGAATAAACTTGTATTACAGGGCATGTTCAAAAAATTCATATAAACTGCATTATTACTTATTTATTTTTAAAAATAATTATTTTATTTAACTTTATTCATTTTCTAAAAAATTATTTTATTTAACTTTATTTATTTACTTATATTTATTTTAATTTGATGATAGGGGCAGAGTGAGAGAGAGAAGAACGTGAGAAAGGAAACTACCAGGTTTGGGACTTGAACCACAGTTGGCCATGTGAGAGTATAGCACCCTTAACCACCACGCCACCTGCTGGCCCCTATTCATTTATTTTTAATTTGGCCAGAGAAGGACAGAGTGAGAAAGAGAGAGAGGGAAAGTGAGAAAGCAAGCCACCAGGTCTGGGACTCGAACAATAGTTGGGCATGTGGGAGTCCAGTGCCCTTAACTACCATGTCACCTGCTGGCCCCTGGAAAATGCATATTGTGAAAAAAAATGCATGATTTCATTTTTTTGCACCAAAACAAGTTATTTTTTAAAGGTTTTGCCATAAGGCACATGTACTCGCCAAGAAAGACAGAGACAGTAAGGGGGAAAGTGTGAAATCACCCCCCAGGGGGATGTTACTGTTACTTAAATAATTTAACATTTAAAATTATTAAATACTGCAGTTCCTTCTCCTCTCTTATGCTCCTACGATTTTGGGCATGCATCCCATGTGCCTGGAGTGATTTTCAAGGTGTTAGGTCCTGGACTCAAACTGCTGTCAATTGTGAGGGAATTCAGTGCCTTAACCACTCTGCCACATACTGCTCCCTAAACTTGTATTTTAATTCCATTTTTTCCACAAACTTTTTGAAGTTTCCTCCTATTTTGTCAGAAAGTCGTAACACTTTTAGACTTGTAAGTCTTAATATATTTGTATATTTTAACTCTGCTTTTGTCTAGAAGTTGAAAAATTTGGCTTCTTGAAGATTTTTGTTTTTGTGTTTGTCCAGTAGACCGAGTTCCTATTCAGTTGCCTTCTTTGGAAGTGGTCTCAGACCAGGCAGAAGACAGGTATGTTGTGTGGCCCTGTACACATTAGGATATTCCCTACTCCTCCTGCATTGTCTTACCTTTGTCTTTTGCTACTAAGTCCTGAAGGAGTGTTATCGATTTTCTTTTTGCATATTTTCATTAGAAAATGTTAAATTATTTCCTTCTTTCAGATATCCTGTCAGAATACAAAGCATTTTTGTTTTCGATTTGCCAAAAGGTGTGTTCACTCCCCAGAGACAGACAGAGAAAGTGAGAAAGCACCTTCAATGGGGAAGGGTCATTCTTCAATCCCTTCTCCATTTCTCCCTCCTGTTGGGATTTTAGACATGCATTCACATATGTACAGTTTTTCTTGCTACAGAGGCTGGGACTCAAACCATGCAAAAGGCAATGTGAGATTTGGCCCCCTTAGCCACCATGCCATTAGCTGGCCTTTGTCAATATTTTAAATAAATGTTGCTATTAGACAGATTTCATGCCTTTTTTTTTCCCCCCCAGAAGTTTACCAATAAGGTTTACTTATTTATTTTTTAAAGAATTGGGTTTTTTCTTTAATTTTATTTATTCATTCATCTTATTTTAATTTGACCAGAGAGGGACAGACAGACAGTGAGAAAGCAAGCTGCCAGGTCCGGGATTTGAACCATAGTCAGCCATGTGGGAGTGTCCAGCACCTTAACCACCATGTCACCTGCTGGCTCCGACCAATAAGATTTATTTTAGGCCTGGAGGAATAGTTGAGTAACTTTTTTTAACATTAACTTGTCTGTTTTTTTCCCTCCAGAAATCAATATGATGTTAAAAATGATGAAAGTAGCAGTTCGTCCATTATCTTTGCTGAGTGTACGTCCGAAAAAGAAAAATCTGGTGAAGAGTTTGATAATGAAAATCAGAATAATAAGTTGGTCAACTACACCACCGATTTAGTCATAAGAAACACCAGTGAATTTGAATCATCCATTGAGCTTCAAGAAAAGGACTTGGCTGGTTTGTCTGCTAGATCAGTTGTCAAACACCAGTTGCCACTTAGGTGTAATTCAGACCTAGAAGCAAATTTCACATCCACTGATGAATCTTCTGAAGAAAACCTAAACTTATTTGGGCAGACTGAGGTAGATGACTTCCCTTGGACCCTGCTACTTTGATGTTTGTCCATAATAATCATACAACGGACTGTGATTATGTGTGACCTTCCTTCTTCAGCTGACTTTCCACCGTGCATTGCTTCCTTTTGCTCTCACTCTTTGGCCCTGTGTTGAATCTCTTGCACTCACCGTGTTACCTCTTGCCATACGGTCCTTGTTTTTTTTTTTTTAAGATTTCATTTTAGTTTTAATTAATTTTAATTTGACCAGAGAAGGACAGAGTGAGAGAGAGAAAGAGAGGGAAAGGGAAAGTGAGAAAGCAAGCTACCAGGTCCGGGACTCAAACTCCAGTTGGCCCTGTGGGAGTTCAGTGCTCTTAACCACCACACCACCTGCTGGCCCCTTGCCACATAGTCTTTATGTTTAGTCTTCTTCATTTAGTTAACTCCTCCTACTCATTTTCTATCCTCCCTGACTGGATTATTTGTTCTTATAAATGTTTTCATATATGGACCCCAGAATTAGAAACCTCATTCACATTCTATTTCTGTTGTATGTTTCCATTATGTTATAAAAAATATTATTGCAGGGCCAGTAGGTAGCATCGTGGTTGAGGCGCTGGACTTCCGTGTGGTCAACTGTGGTTTGAGTCCTGGACCTAGCGGCTTAAAACTCATACTGAGCACATGTGCGTGCATGCCCAAAATCCTAAGAGGAGAATGGGGGAGAAGGGATTGTGGCATGGCTATCCCCCTGGGGGGAAATTTCTCACTTTCTGTCTCTCTGTCTCTCAGGAAAGTGCATGCCCCTATAGCAAAAATCTCTCCAAAAAATTATTTATGCAAAATGATTTTCGGTGTTTTGAAGCATGGCTTGAGAATCTCATTAGGATTACCAGGTTGGTTTTTAGAATACTCATGTTGAGGATTATACTAATATGCTGATCAGTTAGCAGACCACACAGTTAGTTTCAGGACTAGTTCTTCAGTGTCACTTTTGAAAATTTCCATTGCTGGACCCTTGTCTGACTCTAGCTTGGCCTAACCCTTCATCCTTATATCAGGACACACTGTTGTTTTTAATTATTGTTCTACTTACCTGTCTTCATTAAACTTTGGGCTTCTTGGGCAGGCCTGTCTTCAGCAGGGTGCTTGGCCTAGAAGAAGTGAGTGAGCATTTATTACTAAGTGAGCCTGTGAGCAGATTGTGTGTGTCCAGAAGTATGTCCTCCCACAGGTGCAGTACCACCTGATGCTGCACATCCAGATGCAGCTGTGCGAGCTCTCTCTGTGGGACTGGATAGCTGAGAGGAACAAGCGCGGCCGGGAGTGTGTGGATGAATCTGCCTGTAAGTTCTATCTTGATCTGTAAATACCAGGGTGTGAAATAAAGACAAAGTTACATCTTTTCCACTAATGTAGGACTGTTGTCCAGGTGCATGAGATTAAAACACCCACACTTATAGAAACACACACATCCAAAGAATTATTGTGATTATTTCAATATTTAAAAAAAACAGTTAATTTTCTCTATGATAGATAAATAGTTTGTTGATGTTTAAGCAGTAATACATTGGAACTTAGGTTAATGATTTGGGATGGAAATGGTTCTTAATGTTTTTTGTTTTTTTTTTGCCACAAGATGCATGTGCTTGCCAGAGAGAGACGGAGAGAGGAAGAGTGAGAAATCACCCCCTAGTGAGGTGGCTATGCCATAATGCCTTTATCTCCACTCTCTTCTCAGGATTTTAGGAATATATGCACATGTACCTTGTGTGACCCTTAAGCGAGGTCCAGGACTAAACCTGTGTTTGGCCATGTGGGAATCCAGAGCTCCAACCACTATGCCACCTACTGGCCGTTTAATTTTTTTTTTAAATGATATTAAGCTCATTTCTTTTTCTTTTTTAAAAAATTATTATTTATTTAATTTTATTTGTTATTTTTATTATTTAATTTGACTAGACAGAGACAGAGAGAGGAGGGAAAGGGAAAGTGGGAAAGTAAATCTCCAGGTCAAGACTCAAACCACAGTCGGCCATGTGGGAGTCCAGCACTTTGACCACCATGCCACCTGCTGGCCTCATAAGTTCATTGTTCACTTATGAGGGCCCAATATCCCCTTTTAATTAATTAATTATTTTATTTATTTATTTTTTATTTAAGTTGTCAGCAATTGCGTAGATTTACAAGGGAGAGAAAGAGAGAGAGAAAACACCTTCATATGAGGCATGGTCATGCTGCAATTCTTTCTCTGCTTCTCTGTCCAGTTGGCATTCTGGGCATACATGAACATCTGCTCAGCATGTTTTTCAAGCCATTGCAGCCAGGACGGGTGGGATGATGTTTGGTCATGTGGGATCTGGTTCCATTAACCACTAGGCTACAGGGCTGGCCTTTTAATTTTTTTTTCCTTTACAATCATTGTTATGGAGATTTTCTCCTATGTTTTATTTATTATTACCATTATCATTGTTTTTAAGTAGACCAGAGATATATATATATAGAGAGAGAGAAGGTGAGAAAGCAAGCCACCAGGTCCAGTACTTAAACTGTAGTCGGCCATGTGGGAGTCCAGCGCCTGAAACACCATGTCACCTGCCAGCCCCCCCTTTTAATTTTTTGAGACAAAATTTAAATGCTTGTTTTGCCTTTTTTTAACCTTAAAATGAAATACTCTTATAAAAATAAACTCCTTAAAAAAACGGTATATGTTGCAAAGTTTGTGTTTCTCACCATCCAAACTGTTCCCCGTATACTACAGTTGTATATCTTTGTAGGAATTTTCTATGGGTTAATATTTTAAAACTATTTTAACACTGGTTCTCAACTTTGGCTTCACATTAGAATTACCTGGAGAACATTTAAAGCAGTGTTTTTGGTTAAAAAAAAAAAGTAACTTTACAACGGAGAAACCTAACCCTACCTTAGCTGATCAAAGCCAACAATGGTGATAAAGCATGTTCATAATATCTGCCTTTTGATATAAGAATGCCATAACTTTATCTCCTTGATACTGCACCTCAAAACCTATGATCCCAGTCTGATCATGGGAAGCATAGACAAATCCCAGTTGTAGGACATTCTATAAAATATCTGACTAGTATTCCTCTGAGCTGTCAAGGTCCTCAAAACTAGGAAAGTTGAGAAATTGTCACAGCTAAGAGGAACCTAAAGAGACATGACAAGTCAGTGTAATGTGGCCTATCTTGCATGGGGTCCTGAAATAGAGGAAACTGGTAAAAACTAAGGAAATCTGAGCAAACTGTGGACTTCAGTTAATGATATATCAGTGTTGGTGCACTGATGGTGGAAATGTACCAAAGTAATGTAAGGTATTAGTAATGGGAAACTGGGTGTAGGTTTTATGGAAACTGTATTGTCCTCTTATTTTTCTGTAAATTTAAGATTGTTCTAAAAATAAGATCCTTTTTTTTTTTTTTGGAGAGGTTTTTCACTATAGGGCGCGTGCGCTTGCCAGACAGAGAGAGAGACATAGAGACAGAAAGCGAGAAATCACCCCCCAGAGGGGATGGTCACGCCGCAATCCCTTCTCCTCCATTCTCCTCTTGGGATCCTGGGCACGCACGCACACACGCCCGGCGTGAGTTTTAAGCCACCGGGTCTGGGACGCGAACCACGGTCGACTTTGTGGGAGCCCAGCGACATAGCCATTACGCTAACTGCTGGTTCCCAAAATAAGATCCATTTATGTGCAGATAGTGCACATCCAGCGTGTGGCTGGGGCTGGGATTTGAGTCCTCAGTCAGCCATGGGACATCTGGCTTCCTCTGTGCAATACTTGGGTTCTATACTAGATCCTTCTGCACAGCACTCAACTGCTTTGCTACAGGGCTGGCCCCAAGTTTGTTTTTCAAAGAAAAGATACTGTTTGGGATTATGCTAGTTATTTTTATGTAATTGATCTGGGATAGATACCAGCTTTTGTTGTGAAAGTTCTCTTGTTTTTCATGTGTAGCAGAAGGTGAAAATAGGTGTATTAGGTTAACAAAATCATGGAAGAGAGTTGACAGGATTTTAAGTAAGATCCAGCTAAATATCATTAATCATTTGCTTTCACTCCTTTAATTGGTCTAAAACAGTTAAATCTATTTAGAATTTTAAAAATATTTTTTCAAATACATATTTTTTAAAAGAATTTAATTTATTTTAATTTAACAAGAGAAAGACACAGAGAGAGAGAGAGTGAGATAGGGAAAGTGATAAAGCAAGCCACCAGGTCCAGGACTCGAACCATGATCAGCCATGGGGTAGTGTCCAGCGCCTTAACCACTACACCACCGGCTGGTCTCCAGTCTATTTAGAATGTTAAACTGTCTGCCAATGGGAAGACAGAAACATGATGACTCCCTCCAGCTGATACATGACACACCCTAGGTCAATTTCTCTAGTTTACAGTGTGATTAGGACACACTGGAACTTTGTCCAGTTCATTTGTGGTCAGTATTGCGTTGGATATTTTTAGTGCCCTATAAACTTGAATCCTTTGCCTGCTTCATGGTTATAGTAGTGTTATGTGCAGATATCTTTATGAATAGGAAAGCAGCTTGTTAAAACCATATATTGCAGGGACTAGCAGGTGGCATAGTGGTTAAGGTGCTGGACTCCCACATGGCTGCCCATGGTTTGAATCATGGACCCAGTGGCCAAAAATCACACGGGCATGTGTGCATGCATGTCCAAAATCTCAGGAAGAGAGAGGAGTAGAAGGGATTGTGACATGGTCATCCCAATGGGGAGTGATTTTTCACTTTGCTTCTAACTTTCTCTGGCAAGTGCACACACCCTATGGCAAAAACTTTAAAAAGATTTTAAAATAAAAAGCTTTAACTTAGTAGTAGCTCAGCACTATGCTTATAACTATTTTAAAAAAAATAATTATTAATTTTATTTATTCATTCATTTATTTAATTAAATTTGACCAGGTCTGAGATTCAAACTGTGGTCGGCCATGTGGGAGTGTCCAGCGCCTTAACCACTGTGCCACCTGCTGGCCCCATATGTTTATAGCTTTACATTCATCAATTTTGTTTTGCATTTCATCATTTTCAGCAATCGTATGGGCAACAGACCTGGGTTTGAAACCTAACTTTAGTACTTACTAGTTCTAAGGTTTTGGGTAAGTCAGATAACTGCTATCAGTTTGTTTCTTCCTTTGTAAAATGTGATGATCCCTGATTTTTAGGGTTGTTTTGAGGAGTAAAGCAATGAATGTTGGGGCCAGCAGGTGGCGTGGCAGTTAAAGACTTTGGACTCCCACATAGCCAACTGGTTTGAGTCCTGGAACTTACTTTCTTACCCCACTCCTCTCTCTCCGGCAAGTGCACATGTCATGTAGCAAATTTTAAAGATATTAATAATAAAAGTAATTTTTAAAACAACTGTAAGTGTAAAGGGTGTAGCCATTTGCAAAGCATAGAGAAGGCACTGGGTGAATGGAGACTTATTAGCAGGTGAGGTCTGTGTATGGTTACTGAATCCTCTCACTGTTGCCCACTGTTTGGATATGTGAGGTGGGTTAAAGTGAGAACCATGTTTTAAAGACAGACCACGGAAGGCAGTTATTCTGAATAGTGGGGAAATTCAAAAGCCTTCCTTATATTTCTACCCAGACAGGAGATGAATCACTTCAGTATGAGAGAGAGTCAGACAAAGGGTACTTACTGCTTTTATACACACACCGTTTTCTGTCTTAAGAATTGATTTTTTTTTCTTTTAATGTTATTGTTATTCATTATCTTTATTTATTTATTTATTTCCATTTGCCCACAGAGCAACTGGGTGGGGTGGGGGAAGGGGTGGGGAGTGAGAAAGCAAGCTGCCAAATCCAGGACTTGAACAGTGGTCAGCCATGTAGGAGTCTGGCGCCTTAACCACTATGCCACCTGCCGGCCCCCAGTTTTCTATCTTCTAAAGTAGTTGCCTAAGTATGTGCTAGATATGAGGGGGTGTTTAAAAAGTTCTTAGAAAAGTAGAATTAAAGTAGAGCTTATTTTGGTGCAAAGAAAGCCCTCTGAAATCCATGTGGAAGTTTTTAAAAATATGCATTCTCCCTGAAATTTTGAAGACCCCTTCATACAAGGCAGTTAGTTGTAAAACAAACTAGGCTCATTCATAGAGAAGGGACCATGTAGTTCTTATTCTTAAAGGTAAATGGTAGATTTGTGATTTAAAATGACTGAACCGGGCCGGCCGGTGGCATGGAGGTTAAGGGCGCTGGACGCCCCACATGGCCGATCATAGTTCGAGTCCCAGACCTGGCAGCTTGCTTTCTCACTTTCCTTCTCTCTCTCTCTCTCCCTGTTCCTATCTGGGAAAATTAAAATACGTAAGTAAATAAATAAATAAGCTAAATAAAATAATTCTTTAAAAAAATAAAATGACTGAACTATTAAGCTCTTAATGTATTACTAAACCGAGACCAGCAGTTGGCATAACGATTACGTAGCTGGACTCCCATGTAGTTGACTGCGGTTCAAGTCCTGGACCTGATGACTTAAACTCACACCGGGTGTGTGTGTGTCAGCATGGTCATCCCCCCTGGGGGGTGGTTTCTTACCTTCTATCTCTGTCTCTCTCTGTCTTTCTGGCAAGCACATGCGCCCTATAGCAAAAAACCTCTCCTCCCAAAAAAGTATTACCAGACCTGTTTGATGTGAAAACTCCAGAATTTTTAAATTAACTTGTTTTAGTCCTGTAGAACCTATGCTCTAAATTCATGTATGTCAGCATATTAATAGATTAATTAATTGATTTCCTTTATATCTATTTATTTTTTTGTCATATACTTCATTAGTCAGTCATTTTTGGAAAATTAGGTATTTCAAAGATGGACGCTTACCCCTTGCTGTTTTCTTATTCCATTATTTGGATTAATGTCTTAATACATTGTATACTAGGACCTCATATTTATTAGCATTAAACCCCAAGATGTCAGAAGTTGAATAGGGCTTAAATATCATCTAATCTTTGAAAAATAATTCAGTACAAGGGCTCTCAGTGAAATTGGAGCCACCTTCTGGTGAAACAAAGTCCATCTGTGGTTGGGTGTTAGTCTATGATAGTTTCTTGGCTAATTGAGGAGCCCTTCCTGCTTAATTCTAGGTTTTAGATTATGCTGGGATGCTGATATTGTTGAAAAGCTGAATATTGCTTAAGTGCTTTTAGAACCTCATTACCTTTAGATGATGTTATGATGGATAAAAAAATTAGAAAAGTCAAAGTATTTTTGTTTTACTTTAAGGTCCTTATGTTATGGCCAGTGTTGCAAGAAAAATTTTTCAAGAATTGGTGGAAGGTGTATTTTACATACATAACATGGGAATTGTACACAGAGACCTAAAGGTAAGTGGGGATGACTAAGTCATTGAAAGCAACAATATCTTCTTGACAGGGGTGATTTGATGTTGGCCTATTGGATTACATGAGATTACATACCCTCATTTATTTTCTTAGGAGTTTGTCATTATTTTTATTTATTTATTTATTTTAAGAGGGTTTTACCTTAGAGTGCATGTACTTGCTGGGAGGAGACAGAGACAGTGAGAGGGAAAATGAGAAGTCCCCCCCCCCCCCGAGGGGATGACCACACTGCAGTCCCTTCTCCATTTTGTTCCTGGCATCTTGGGCATGTGCCTAGTGTGAATCTCAAGCTGCTGGGTCTGGTACTCTTAACTGCGATTGGCCAAGGGGGAGTCCAGCGATGTAACCACTACGCTATCTGGTGACCTCATTATTATTATTTTTAAAAATTGCCCAAGGGCATGCACATTCAGCACAGTGAGAAAGAAAGCACTCCTCAATGGGGAATGTCATGCCTTCGTATTCCTCCTTTTTTTCATTCCATCAGACTTTTGGGCACATAAACACACACACACCTGGCATGTTTATCAAGCTAGTGGGGCCAGGATTTGAACCATGGTGGACCGTATGAGGTCTGGTTCTGTATGCACAGAGCTTAACTACTATATTACAGAGGTTGGCCCTATCATTGCTTTTATATAAATCATTGTTTCATAGATCTAAAACGTGAAACTCTTAGATCAAATTTTAAAGCAGTTGTTTTTGGCATATTGAAAATTCTCTACATAATATAAGTACTGTTGGGAACCAGCAGTTAACGTAATGGCTATGTCGCTGGACTCCCACGTAGTTGACCGCGGTTCGCGTCCTGGACCCGGTGGCTTAAAACTCACGCCGGGCGCGTGTGCGTGCATGCCCAAAATCCCAAGAGGAGAATGGAGGAGAAGGGATTGCGGCATGATCATCCCCCCGGGGGGGTGATTTCTCGCTTTCTGTCTCTATGTCTCTCTCTGTCTAGCGAGCGCACATGCCCTATAGTGAAAATCTCTCCAAAAAAAAAAAAGTATATATATATATATATAAGACATGTTTTTCAGGTAGTTACTATGCTCGTAATGCTAATAGAATTGGTGATGCTAAATATAACTAGTGCTAATGAAACTATTTATATAGTATGGTAGCCTTAGAAGTAAAATCTGTTTCTGTGATTATCCATCTTGAAGGAAATTTAAACATGGGATTTATTTATGTATTTATTTTAAAATAATTATTTAACTTTGTTTATTTATTTACTTTTTTTTTGGAGAGGTTTTTAGTATAGGGCGTGTGCGCTTGCCAGAAAGACAGAGAGAGACAGAGAGATAGAAAGCGAGAAATCATCCCTTAGGGGGGATGGCCACACTGCAATCCCTTCTCCTCCATTCTCCTTTTGGGATCTTGGGCACACATACACATGCACCCAGTGTGAGTTTAAGCCACCAGGTCTGGGACTTGAACCACGGTTGACTACGTGGGAGTCCAGTGACACAGCCATTACGCCAACTGCTGATCCCACTTATTTATTTATTTTTTTAATTTGACCAAAGAGGGACTGAGCAAGAGAGAGAGAGAAAGTGAGAAAGGAAGCCGCCAGGTCCTAGACTTGAACTGCCATCAGCCATGTAGTTCAGCGCCCTTAACACCACCATGTGACCTGCTGGCTCCAATGGTATTTATTTTTGGGGGGTGTTTTTAAAAATCTGTATTGACTTTTCCAATTTTTATCCACAAAAGGCTATCCGGGAAAGATAGGAAGTACATTTAAGTCTTTGACTGAAGAGTTTAATCATTTTGCTTACTTTTCAGGTAAAAATTAAGTCATAGAAAAGGCATTTAAAAGAAAATTTAGGAACAGAAAAGCTAATATGCAAGTCACTTTATTTTTTTGCAAAAAAGTTGAAGAACCAGTAGTTTGTACATTTGGAATGCAAAAGGTGACAGGTTAAATATTCTCTGGTACACGTCTAACCAGAAAATGCAGTTTGTGTTATTGAAATTCTGTGGCCCTGTGAAACTTTGAGGTCTTATTTCAAGAGGTAAGCTAAGTCATAACAATAGTATACAGAATTCCATACCTTCGTAGGGAGGAGTTGCTTCAGGTAGTGTTTGTATTTCTCACCATAAATATTTCTGATGTTTCTTTTACAGATATCCTCAAGGGACAAAGGTTTTTGAGATAACTTTACTAGGGTTTTCCTTAAGAGGTGGAATTCTGGTAGCCTGATTCCCACAGGTAGAATTCTTTGGTCATTGGTCAGTCTCAAAGGATAAGTGCGATAAAGTAGTCTGGTAAGAAGTGCTGTATCTCTAATATTGGAACTGCGCTGAAGGAACCTGTAAATTGGAGATTCCCCGTTTCTTGTTAAAATATTAACATTTGCTCCAAATTCAAGCAAGAGGTTGATTATCTCCTCTGTGCCTCCAAAACATGCCTCATGCATAGCTGTTTGACCTTTATGGTCCTGGACATTGACTTTGGCTCCATGAATTAGAAGCAGACGGATGCAGCTCACTCCTGCTTCTAGCAGTCGACCTGCTTTGCTTGCGGCAGTGCACACTGCCAGCTTCAGGGCTGTGCTCCCCGTGGAAGAGACAACACAGTTAACATTTGCTCCACAGGCAATGAGTGTTTCCATCATATCTTTATTCAATATAGCTGCAGCCATGTGAAGGGGTGTCATGCCAGATTGATTGATAGCATTGACATGGGCACCATTTTGACTCAAAATGGAAAGAACTGAGTAGGTCCCATATGTTATAGCCAGGTGGAGGGGTGAATGTTTATTGCTGTTTTCTACTTGAGCATTAACTTGAGCTCCATGTTCACACAAAATGCGGAGACACGTGACATCATTATTTCGAATGTCTGTCAGGATTCTGTGGATTCTGTTGCCTGGTTTAGTCCACGTAGTAGAAGTGATCGGCCAGTGCAGTAGCATCAAATGGAGTGTGGTAAGGCCACTTGGGTCCCTAGAATAGATATTGAGCACATGTTACACTTGGAAATGACTCTGTGTGAAGAATTAATGCTTCAGAAGGCACATTTTTTTTCTTTTCCTTTTTAAAATTTGCAGAGGGCACATGCGCTCACTAGAGAGAGACAGAGAGAAAGCATCTCCCATGGAGAATGGTCACTGCAGTTCCCCCTCCTCCATTTCTTTTGAAACCTTGGGTATACAGACAAGTGCCCCCAGTGTTTCCTAAGCTACCGGCTCTAAGACTTGAATTATTGGGTCAGTCATGTGAGATATGGCTGCCTCAACCACCAAGCCACAGAGCTGGCACATCATCATTTATTTAAATTAAATACCCTTTCATTACTTTTAAAAAATGTTCAGGAGGCCAGCAGATGGCAGGAGGTTAAGGCTGCTGGATCCCACAAGGCTGACTGTGTGGTTCGGATCCTGGACCAGTGGCTTGAAGAACATACTGGATGTGTGTGTGTGTGTGTGTGTGTGTGTGTGTGTCTAAAATTCTGAGTGGAGGATGAAGGAGAAGGTATTGCGGCGGTGTGGCAACCCCTGAGCAGACAATTTCTCACTTTTTCTCTTTCTTTTTCTCTCTGGTGAGCACATGTACCCTATAGCTAACTTATTTAAAAAAAAAAAAAAAAGTGTTTCAGAATTTGTATTGCTAGGTAATTTTCTCGGGATATTATGGGATTGTTTTGGGAAACATGGTGGTATGCATCATGTAGCTAGTGGGGCCCAGCTACTTATAGCAGCTTAATTGAACTCCATTGTTCCTGCCGACTGTGACC